ATAGACCTCTCCTCCATGAATCTATCTAGAAGAACATCAGAAGAGCCCTGCTGGATCAGACCAATGGTCCATCTAGTCTAGTATCCCGTGCCACACAGTGGCCAACCAGTTCCTCTGGAGGGACAACAACAGGGCAGGGAGGCCGAGGCCTTCCCCTGAGAAGAACCTCAGAAGAGCCCTGCTGGATTAGACCAGTGGTCCATCTAGTCCAGCATCCCGTCTAACACGGTGGCGAACCAGATCCTCTGGTGGGCCAACAACAGGGCAGAGAGGCCAAGGCCTTCCCCTGATGTGGCCTCCTGGCCCTGGGACTCAGAGGTTTAGTGCCTCTGAATGTGGAGGTTCCCCTCAGTCACCATGGCTCGTAGCCACTGATAGACTTATCCATTAATCTATCTAATCCCCTTTGAAAGCTGTTTATTCCTGTTCATCGTGATTTAATAACCTGCAAAACTGGTTTGACCAGAGAGGACAGCAAAACCAAAGGAACAAGGAATATGCTATGAATAATATTTATGTTAGTTGCTGTAGATTTTCCGGGATGTTCTTCATTTATACCTCCCGCCTTTCTCCACAGTCAGGGCCCAGAGTGGCTTACCTCCACGCCTCCATTTTATCTCCAAGGTAGGTTGGGCTGAGGGTGTGCGATTGGACCACACCCAGTCAGCTTCCGTGGGGAGTTGAATGAGGGTCTCCCAAATCCTAGCCCAACACCTTCACCGCTACACCGCACTGGCTCTCCACAATGACCGACTGATCATTCCCCACTGATGATTCCCCACTCCTCCACTTGCAGCTGCTGGATGACCTTGGGCAAGCCGTAGTTCTGCCACAGCTGTTCTTGAAAAGAGCAGTCCTCGAAAGAGCTCTCTCAGCCCCACCTACCTCACAGGGTGTCCGTTGTGGGGAGGGGAAGGGAACGGAGATTGTAAGCTGCTCTGAGTAATGGGCGAGGTATAAATCCAATTCTTCCTCTCCCTCCTCAGAACTCTCTCACAGGGTGTCTTTCGAGGGGAGGGGAAGGGAAAGAAGTTTGTAAGCCGCTCTGAGACTCCAAGTGACGGGTGGGGCATAAATCCAATCTCTTCTCTTCTCTGAAAAACTGTCCCCCGACTGACAGCGCCCAGGATTGCAGGTGAAGCCAAGAGAGCTCTGCAGAATGACCCATTTATGTCAAGCTCGTTCCTGTGCCTTATTTTCTGCTCTGTATGACGCAAATCAAGTGTCACTTCAAGGAAGAGCCTCTGCCTGGACATCGGAAAGCGGTGGGTGGACTGTTCTTGCTTCAAGTAAAATTCAGTTTTAATTAAAAAAAATACCTTCTCCCTTCCTACAGTTTTGGATGACTTACTGGCAACACAGACACACACACATATATCTAGTTAATAATTATCATGTTGCATTGTGTGCAGAATAGCCAGGAGATCCTAAGATTGTCTGGCAGCCAGAAGATCTAGCTCTTCAGTGTTATGCACCACTAGGTGGCGAGCTAGACTTGTTTTTAAGTCAAGAGATGTTTCAGAGGTGTTTTGCCATTGCCTGCCTCTGCGTCGCGACACTGGTACTCTGTGGAGGTCGCTCATCCAAATACTAGCCAAGGCCGACCCTGCTTAGCTTCCGAGATCTGATGGAATCGGGCTTATCTGGGATATCCAGGTCAGGGCTCCCTAGTTGTAATAGAACAAAGTCTGAGTCCAGTGGAACCTTTAAAACCTACAAAGTTTAATTCTGGGTAGAAGTGTGCATGCACACAAAAGCGTATACCCAGAATCAGGGGTCATTTCTTAGAAAAAGAGGGGCAGGAGCTCATTAGCATAACTCATTAGCATAATTTATTTGCATATGCCACACCCCGACATCACCTGAAGTGTGTCAGAAGGCAAAACCCACGGCTCAGGCTCCACTGGACTGTTTTGGATTGCTAGCTATTGGGGGGGGGGGGGGCGGCGACGCTCTCCC